GAATTGAACCCAGGGCCTTGAGCATGCAAGGCAAGCGCTCGACCACTGAGCCACCTTCCCAGCCTAAAAAAATTTTATTATGAAAATACCGTAGAGTTACAATTACATGGGCAAGATAATGAGTACATTTCTTATCAAGCATTGTTGCTTCTTCCTTTGTTTCCCCTTCCCATCCCTTCTTATCTCCCATCCCCCCTATCCTACCCCCATCACCCCCCTCTTCCCCTGGCCAAAGTTGTAAAGTTCGTTTTTCAACATAACAACTTGTACATCTCATTGTTGCAATGGGTCCACCTGTATCCCTATTTCTTGCCCATGTAATTGTAACCCCTCTGTATGGTATTTTCACAATAAAAAAAAATAAGAAAAGGAGAGGTGTGGGAGCAAGGACAACAGAGCAGATTAGTCCATAATCCTTTACTGTATTTCACTCCTCCCCCTCCCCCTCGCCCTCCCCCCCAGGCCTGGCCATGATCCATAAGTATAGTTTCTCAACAGTCATTGATTGCAAATTTTCAATTTTTACACAATTCGTTATTCACTCATGATTTTTTCTGGCAGTATAGGGATTTGAACTCAGGGCCGTTCACTTGCTAGGCAGGTATTCTACCACTAAGTCATATCCTCAGCTCTTTTTTCTACAGGCTATTTTTCCCAGCCTGCACCTGGACAGTGACATACATGTGTGTCTCATGCTTCCATTGCAACTGTGATCACAGCAACTGCCACACACTCTGCTTCTTTCCATTGAAATAGAGTCTTAGGGATTTTTTTTTCATTTGTCTGAAGTGGTCTAGAACAACGGGCCTCCTGATTTGGCCCCCTACATAGCTGGAATGACAGGCATGTGCCACCATGTCCAGCCATTGTTTAAGAAGGGACCTCAAGTATACGCCCTAGCTAGCCTCAGACCTCAATCCTCTTAACTGCAATCTCCTGAGCAGCCAGGATTACCGGCATGAGACACAAGTACCTGACTCACACATGATGTTTAAATGAAAGGGCTCTATTTTTTTCTCTGTTCAGCTGTTAATGTGGAAATCTGTGTTTACCCTTACAATAAGCTATTCCCATCAATTTTCTTTTAAAAATATATATATTACTGTTATTGTAAGGGTTATGTACAGAGAGGTCACAATTACATAAAGTAACCTGTAATGAGTATATTTCTTTTTGAACAATGTCACTTTTCCCTCACTCTTTCCCAATTTTTTCCTGTTATCCCTCCACAAGTTGTATAGTTCATTTTCAACATAGTGTTGAATAGTGAGTACCACTGCTAATTTTGTTTACTCTTTGCCCCTCGATTTCTGTGCTACTCCTTACCTCTCAAAGATAGATGAACTAACAAACAAGACAAAAGGTAAAGAAAACAAAAATAAAAACAAAGAAATAAAACTCTTGTTTCCATTTCTTGGAGCTCATTTCAAAAATATTATTTTATATGATCATATGCACCATAGCTATTGAACCTTTGTGATCATCTCCTGAGAATATATTCCTTTGGTCTCATTGTGTGAGTGTTCCAGTATTCTTTTGTCTTTTTAAAAAATTGATCATGTTTTAATTATAGGCTAAAATGTCTAATACAGTAAGCCTGAATTAGAAAAATTAAGATTCCAAATACATTGCTAGAGAATTGCACAATGGAGGGATGAGGGAGTTAATGAAAATTTTTCTCTACATACAACATGATCATTAGTAAACTAGTAAATCTTTTTTTTATATTTCTTTTTTTTAAATTTTATTTTATTTGTGAAGATACTGTACAGAGGGGT